GGGTATTGGATTTCAAGGGATTCTTTCTGAGGTCTGTTGCCATCTAACTGTCTACATACAGTAGTTGACTGCACTAAAGGCATTTCTCTTAGGTGTCGATCCAGCAACCCATAGCCAATGCCATGAAGTCTTTCCTCTGATTGTCTTCACTCTAAAACAAGCTGCAGAAAAATCTTTAGCGATTTGTCTTCATGAAGGGAGGCAGCAGTAATAAAGCATGCCAAGAAACAGGTATAAGGATTTCTTAGAAAGGTCTATGTGTTTCAGAAGCAAAATTGGCTTTGATAGGAAAGATGGGTGTTGTTTCAGTGGTGGCTGGCACATCTGTCCCATCAGAGTTTGGAAAGTACTGTGCTGTGCCACCAAAAGCAAACCCATCTTGAGTTACAGGAGATAATATGGGGAAAAAATAAATAGAGAAATACTTTAACAGAGAGGAAAATGCACAGTTCATAGAATCATAGAATGGCTTGAGTTGGAAGGGACCTTAAAGATCATGGAGTTCCAGCCCCCTGCCCTGGGCAGGGACACCTCCCACCAGACCAGGTTGCTCCAAGCCCCATCCAGCCTGGCCTTGAAAACATCCAGGGATGGGGCAGCCACAGCTTCTCGGGGCAGCCACAGCTTCTCTGGGCAACCTGTTCCAGTGTCTCACCACCCTCACAGGAAAGCATTTCTTCCCAAAACCAATCTAAATCTACCCTCTAAATCTAAATCAGTCACATACCTCGTAGGGTGGAAGAAAAGGGCCAGAAGTTCCAGAGCAAGAAAGAGAGGAAAAAAGATATTTGGGATTTGCATAAAATTTGGACCTGGGCAAAACCAGGCAGCAGAAGTTCTTTGTATCAGAGCCTCAGCTCTGGTGGCCCCAATTTCTCACAAAATCCCATTTTGGTGGCTCACTTTCCTTTTTTTAGATCTTGTCTCTTCCAGATACCAATTCTGAATGGGTTTGGGGGTGGCTCTTTAACCCAGCTGAAGATGGTTTTTCATGCAGAAAGCCTGTGTTCCTAACTGAAGACTTGAGTCTGGGTTCCTGTGGCCTCCATTTTCAAAGACTCGGTCTAACGCATCCTAAATTAACTCGCCAGGCAACAGAGTATGAAATCGGACATGACCGATCGATCCTCGGGCATTGATTCAAAGCGGAACTAATGGAACGTAAAGAAAATGTAAGAATCTATTATACTGTAAAGGCTGCCTATTTAGGCGTTTTACAAAATAAAATAGCATTTGGGAGCTGGGTGGAGGTGTAATGTTTGTAGAACCAACTAAAACAAGGCATCGGGTCGTTGCAAACTATTGCCCTACAGATCGAGCCTTGAGGGAACGGCTTTGTTGGATGCCACTGACTAAAATAATTGCATGATAATTTTGGCTAGAGGCACCATCCTATCATCTGCTGATTTGTAAACCGTGCACAAATAGTTTAGACTGAGTGATCTTGGCATCCAGCTACAAAGAATCGAGAAGTCCACTCAGCGTGCCACGTCTATGCTTTGGGGAGAAAGAAGAGATGTCCTAGCACTGTCCAAGGAAGGTTTCTGAGCTGTAGCAACCAGCAGCGGTACATGCTCCATCTGCGATGCTCTAGGAAAGACTAACCAAGGGATTTCTTCTAAGGTAAGCAGCAGAAAAATAATTTTTCCTAGGGTAGTATGGATTGAGCAGATCCCTGTGAGACTGGAAACGACACAAATTGAACCTGGGGTATTTGCATCTTAGCATCTAACTTTTTTTTTTTTACAAGAAATTGAAGATATAACTTTGTTTTTCAAATCACAGTTGATGAAAACCTGGCATAAATTTAATATAGGAGTGATTTGAATAGTGGCAAGTGATCAAATGAACTTTAAAATAAGGAAGTAACAAAAACCAGAAATAAAGAAACTGCCTCCAAGAGAAATGGTGGATTTCCATCTGGTTCTAACAGATTACAGGTATGAATTTTTGTTTGAAATAACCATTTGTTATTATTATTGAAATAACCAGATACAGAGGTAGTCAGATGATATAACACAAAATGGCTCAGGTATGTACAATCTATACTAAAAATGGTATATTGCTGATAGACTAGAATTTCTAGTACGCTAGTAGACTGGAAATAATGTTAACATTGATATTTGAGACTATACATCTAAAGTAAACTGAAATACTCTGTTACACAGAACTCAAATAAGACCAGGGAAGAGAAAGATGGAAAAATTGGAAGCATGCTGCTATGACAAGGTTGTAAAGTAGTTTTTGGCTGATTTCTTAGAAACTCTGGCTTTTGTGGCTGTAGACAAACTTCTTTGCTTTATACGTAGTGTTCACCGTGTCAATATTCCTACTGCGGTTCTACCAGTGCAGATTTGAGGTAAAGTGTCTTGGTATAATAAGAGTAGAATTAGACCACTCCTATGATTGCTTTCCCTGGTTGGCCATTATAAAGGAAAGATGAGGATAGAGTTGTTTAAATACTGGTAGAAACAGCTTAAGAAAAGTGCATTTATATAGCCAGAGTGGTATGTTTACACTCCTCTTGTCCTCTCTTCCCCCAAATACATTAACTTTCTGCTCCAAAATGGGCAATAATCATTCCTAGCGCTAGAGGAATGCCATCTTTGGGATTAAAACATGTCTCCTTTCCCTTTTATTCCTGTGCTTACAATTTAGCATCTCACTTGAGCGGGTCGGGTTTTTTTGTGGAGTCTATCCATTTCAGTGAGGCACCAGCCATTTGCAAGGCAGCAAATAAACCCTTTGCTTAACTGTTGCGTTGCCATCATCTAGTCACCTTCCAGGGGAAGTGATACCAAGCAATCAGCACATGTCACCCACCACCTACTCGTACTTGGCCTCTTGAGTACTCGGGGTTTGGGAGCTTGCTCTGTCTAAATCTCTGTTTCTCACTTTACTGAAGGTGAGCTCTTCTGTAGCAGCACTTCCAAGCTCAGAAAAACAGACTCGATATTTTTCTCTTGAGCTGTAATATTTTCTAGTAAACATTTCAACATATGAAATCTTTACACCCACCCAACCTCTGAAGTTACAATGATTTGATATCTGCTCTGAAAAAAAAAAAAAAAAATCCATATGAAGTCAGAGGAGGATCTGACATTGCTCTTTAAAGATGGAAAAAAGACTGCAATAATTCTTGCTGACTTTTTTTCATGTAACTTACTTCAATGATATGCACGGGAGGGAAGGAATAGGGAAAGAAGATATTCCAGGTGCATCACAGCACCTGAGAAATTGCTTGACTGGCTCAGTTTCCTCAACGAGTTCCCTGTGCAAAAAGGGAAGCTCATTGTGTAGCTTTGAATTTGCAGAGAAACCCCAAATCCTACAAATTTAAAAATAAGGTCTGCAGGATGCCTATGCAGAGAGTGACGGCACTGTTAGTTACGATTGAGAATCTTTCCTCACAGTGTGGATAAACACAGCATCCAAGCAGAATTGTGCCACCTGGGATCATATCATAAACCATAACCAAGGTATATTGATAATGGTGATATCACCCAACTGTTCTATCAATAAAAAATGTGTAAAATTTTGGATACTGGAACCAGTCACTTTTAACAGAGCTTAGAAATGGTACTTTACTGAAGCTGGTGGTTTACTGGAGTTTGGGAATTTTTGAAAGTACAGTAGCAAAATCTGGGGAACAGATTTAGATTGGAGATTAGAAGGGGGTTCTTTACTGTGAGGGTAGTGGAGCACTGGAACAGTGCCCAGGGAGGTGGTTGAGGCCCCATCCCTGGAGATATTCAAGGAGAGGCTCGACGAGGCCCTGGGCAACCTGGTCTAGTTGGGGGTGTCCCTGCTGACTGCGGGGAGGTCGGACTAGATGACCCTTGGAGGTCCCTTCCGGCCTGGGAAATTCTATGATTCTATTCTATGATTCTATGAAAAAAAAAGAAAGTGTGAACCCCAAGGTAGATATGATCCCATGTGAGCAGAAAAAAATCAGGGACAAAACACCAAATGTACGGTGCATTTACACATAAACAGACAAATACCTTGCATTTCAATTCCCCGCATCAGCTGAAGCTCTTGGATAGTTTGCAGAGAAGCGACTCGGAAATCAAGCATCTGGCAGCAGAACGTGGATCAATTTGCAGGTGAACCAAAGATCTTCTGGGACAGAGGTAGTTAAAAAGATCTTCTTATGCTCACAGCTAAAAGCCTCCACATCACTTCATTATGTAGTCCCTGTTTATTTATCTCATGTGTTGAAATGTATAATTAAGACAAAGTCTTGGTGATTCAGTAAGTCTTTGAAATGCATAAAATTAAAGTTATTAATCCTAGAAGCACTCTTAATTTATTAACATTATCCTAGAACTGAGACTATTTCTACATGTACAGCTGTGTGTAAATTAGCTTTGCATTTGTAGTTTCAGGAATCCAAGGGAGAAACTTGTGGATTGTTACCCTGGTAGGTGAGAAAATATTGGATGGATGGCAATAATAATGCTACTACCTTGCGTTACAAAATGAAACATTTTCCTGTCACAATTACAGGATACTTCTCAAAACTTTATCAAACAAATGAAAGCCATGAGCATTAGATGTTATTCTAGTTGCTTTGCACCCAAAACTATGGCAAAGCCACAGACAGTGGAATGGAGTGGGTGTAGAATTAAACTGTAGTTGGCAAAGGATTTGCAAAGTGGAAAAAAAGTGTCTTCTTTCCTAGTTTGGGAAGAAAATAGTGTAAAACTGTAGGCAGTTAAGAAGTACTTTAGTTTACGGCTGAAATCAATCTCTCTTTAGCTTAAAATAATCCCACACTTGCATCTTTCACCAGTAATCATAAAGTCTGCCTTCATTTAAAGGCCCATTAAGTAGCAAATAATGAAGAGCTCTCTTGCTATCAGAAGAAATTATATGAAAGATCATTCCTTTTAAAAAAGGCCCAAACCTAAAAAAGACCATTTCCAAAAGAAATGTAGTATTGTAGTAAAATAGCATTTTTAAATTTTTTTTTGTATTTCAGATATGAACTTCTGACCATGGGGGACTGGAACCTGTTGGGCAGCATCCTTGAAGAAGTGCACATCCACTCCACCATCGTTGGCAAGATCTGGCTCACGATCCTGTTCATATTCCGGATGCTGGTGCTGGGAGTGGCTGCTGAAGATGTCTGGGATGATGAGCAGTCCGAGTTCATCTGCAACACCGAGCAACCCGGCTGCAGCAACATCTGTTATGACAAAGCCTTCCCCATCTCTTTGATCAGATACTGGGTGCTGCAGATCATCTTTGTCTCTTCTCCATCGCTGGTTTACATGGGCCACGCGCTCTACAGGTTAAGGGCTCTGGAGAAAGAGCGACAGAAGAGGAAAGCCCACCTGAGGGCTCAGCTAGAAGACCTGGAGCCCATGCCTGAGGAACACAGGAGGGTGGAGAGGGAACTGCGGAAGCTGGAGGAACAGAAGAAAGTGAATAAGGCACCCCTGAGAGGGTCCCTGCTGCGCACTTACGTCCTACATATCCTGACCCGGTCGGTGGTCGAAGTGGGCTTTATGATAGGTCAGTATCTTTTATACGGGTTTCACATGTCTCCCCTTTACAAATGCACTCGGGCCCCTTGCCCTAACACGGTGGATTGTTTTGTGTCCCGACCCACAGAGAAGACCATCTTTATGGTTTTCATGAACAGCATCGCCGCCGTCTCCCTCTTCCTCAACATCCTAGAAATTGCCCACCTGGGCCTCAAGAAGATCCAGAAGAGCCTCTACGGCCGACCCAGGCATCCGGTGGCCCCCGCCGAGGAGGAGGCCAGCCTCTACAACTCCAAGAAGAGCTCCGTGGTGCCGCCACCCTGCCTGCCCAGCGACGTTTCTCCTCCGCGCCCCGCCACGGCCCCGCCGCCGCCTCCGCTTCCCCACGCTCCCGCCCCCTCGGGGCCGCCGCTCCGTCAGCACCGCGGAGAGCTCCGCGGGGCCCCGCCGCCCCGCCAGCGCC